GGTGACTGAATTGGCGTATCTCTGTTGCAATTTTTGCCCTTTTCTTTTCTAATGTATTGCGGCACAATAGCTAAGGTGTTTTCCACCTGAAGCTAACGTGTATAGGGCTGCTATTGTTGTTGATGATAATAATAATAATACTGATAATAAATGTCAAGTGATGACGGACCAGCGGACGATGTGGCTGCACTTGCCGGTGTGATGCGTTGCGCCGTCTCACTGGTTGGCACGGTCGAAAGGGTGGCTATTAGCTTTGGGTTCTCGATCAATTTCATTTGAATGCTGGATGGGCAGCAACGTACGATGAACTACGAGGTGGTTACTGCAAATGGCCTGGGAGAAGAACTTTTTCCTTTGGCTTGATTACCTCAAGAATGCCCTTTCTAACGAGTTAAAAATCATTGAGAAGCCAAAGCTTATTTTGTACGCCTGTGTTTTAACGATAAAATCTGTCACACTGTTGTTAATTGGACTTTGAGGCCATACGAATATTCCGAAGGATAAGTGTGCTTCTTGGGGACCTGACAACTCCGTGTCGCTTGAATGTAAGCTTTATGATTTGCAGCAAAATGTTGAGAAATAGTCCACAAAAAGGCAGGAGCGTCGACTCAGTGCGATTGCACGGTGGATGGATATCACTTGTATGCAGCATAAAGGTACATCTAATTTCATCTGCCATCTCTCATCCCGTCGAGAGAAGGACGGAGCAATGCTCCGATGCCATCTCGAATGTTTGGCATCTATCTATGCAGTTGCCAACTTATTTCGAATAGCACGTCGCCACATTTTCCTTCGAGAGTTACCTTTCTGATGTGCTATCAGATGCAGACCATCGTACTTCGATTTCCCACTGTTAACAGGAAGTTTCCATTAGCTAGTTTTTCATGTCGTTTCTACTGCTGTATAAATGCGTGCTACTGCTATTCCGTCTGCTGGTTTGCACATTGGTCTGAACTGAGCCACACAATTTGGCACCGTCCATCCATTGTAGGATTGGTTCCGTTTACCCGTATCATATTTTCCATCGTGAACCGACCAGATAGCCAGTCCGAACCTTCTAGCTTGAGGAACGGAACATCACCTCCACTTAAATTTGTTACATTATTTTTATCTGCCCTGTTTTTATTCTTTGTCTACCTTTAGAACGTTTTTACACACCCGATGCCTTATTCGAGTTAATAGCTTCAGTCATTCAGACTATCTCAAACTGCTCTTACGGCGAATAAACCGAGGAACAATATGATCGGACGGTCGTTCGCACTCCTGGTTCTGCTTTGTCTACCGATGCCTTGCTGTCCATTGCTTAGTTATCCGCTTAAACGAGATACTGCAGAGTATCAAGGGTCGCCTTATCTGCTGCATACAGAAGGCCGGATAAGCGAACACATGTTACTGCTGGCGCCTCCTTTCTTTTCTTTCCAACCCTTTCTCTTACTCCCCTCCCAGTACCCATTACTAATATTCCACCCATAATTCCCAGTTTATTTGATACTAACCGCAATGTCACTGGAGTCTTACCACTCACTAGCGATTAATCAGCCACAGCTCCTTATAAGGCCACACTATCCCGTTTCCCTGACGGCGTTCAACCTTCGCACTCCATGACAAATAGGCTACACTCGTACACACCTTAGACTCGCTGGGTATTGTGGTGTGTTGTGTGTCCGAAGCTAGAGTCAGTGACGCTCTTGGGGTTTTTGAATGAGCTGCACCCCTTCTGTCCTCTCGCTATTGGTTGCACGCATCCGACGACGCTGATGCGGCAACCACTGGTCAAGCTGGGTTTGATATCGTTCTCAGCTTCAAGGCCGAGTCATCGTTGGTCGATTGGATTCCCCGTGAATAGCCGTTTGTGTGCAGTCCGTTTGACGACATCATCTAAGGTTGATTCACATAGTAGCACTAGACACTGTTTTTGTGGTTCCCGCTTATGCTCCCACCGTTTGTAGCTCTGATGCTACGAAAGACGCCTTCTACCACGAATTGTACACGCTACTACGCAGTTACTAGTACGGATATCATAGTTCTTGCAGGGGATATGGATGCACAGGTAGATTGTCTGAGCTCTTCAGAAGCTTTGCTAGGTGGTACATATGGACTTAACTCCGAACGGACGGACAACGGCGAGCGTCTGTTACAGCTGTGTGCGGAGCACCAGTTGTTTCTTAGTGGTACCGCGTTTAGACACAGTGGACACCCACTTACCACTTAACGTGGTGCTGTAGCTGTCCAGTGACGGACTCAAATAGATCACATCGCCATAAGTTATTTGTGACATGGTCCCATCCTGGATTGTCGCTCATTCTAGAGTACTTGCGTCGACTCTGGTCATGCCTTGCTACGCTGTCGCTTTTCCATGACCTTTACTGTGATCTGTACCAAGCGCCTCCCACGATCGGCAACTGAGAAGTTATCTCAGCCCTCGGTCTGGATGCACTGCGTACATCACTTTCGCTCTTTTTTCCTAATAGCTTCATTGGAATAGTATCTCGGTCGCCATGCAGAATGCAGGAGCCTCCGCTTGAGGCACTATCAATCGCGACCGCATCAGTCACTAGATATCCGGGAGGTCGGTGAACCTGTTAGACTCCAGAAGAAATCTCCCGGTTCGCTCTGAGCATAATGTTCCCAATCGGACTATTAGGCGCGGATTAAAGCGGAGCCTGTGTGCTGACAAGGAAGCCTGGTGGATCAGTCGGGCTCAAGAAATGAAGTAGGTAGGAGCAGTAAGGGAACTATACTAAGCTCTTCCGCACTACTTGTCCCTAAGAACCAGGCTTCATTGAAACAATCAGAAACAGCGCGAGTGCCCTGATTCACCATAAGGAGCGCCGAATGGCTTGTTAGGCGGTGCACTTTCAGAGCAGTTCAGTTGTCCTCCCTGTTTCTGGAACTCTTCCCACTCAGGTTTTGCAGGCTGAGCTGTGGCCGGTCAGTTCGGAGACTCAATCAGAAGTTGAGGTCCGAAATGCGATCGCAGCCCTTAATCGTTTTCGTGTTGCTTGCCCGGATTCCATCGCACCCCGCAGTGTCTAAGGATGGAGGTGAGGCCCTCTGCAAAGCACGGACTTCCTTGTTCGAACATGTCTGGAATGCAGAGGACATCCCAGCTAACTGGAGTGAATCCATTATAGTAGCGATATACAAGAAGTGCAGTCGCAGCGACTGTATGAACCACAGGTGTATTAGCCTAATACCGGTTGTGACAAAATTACTGGCCACAATTCTCCTTCGTTGCCTCACTGGGGAACGAGAATCCCGTATTAAGGAATAGCAGACAAACTTACGCCCTGGAGAGGGCTGTGTGAACCAGGTATCTACTATGCGGCAGGTGCTGGAACTGCGCCACGTGTACCGCATATCGACTATACCTGTGTTCCTCGATTCCAAGCGTGTGTTCGATTCAGTTGATCGATCGATTTTGTTTGAAATACTTGTGCGGAAAGGTGTTCCAATGAAATGTGAACATTTTACATGCTTCTTACCGGGATTTCACAGGCCGCGTCTCGATTTACGGTGATTTGTCGGACGCCTTTCTGATAACAAGTGGCGTTCGCCAGGGTTGCTAATTTCCCCATTTTTGTTCAACTTCCTTTTTGGATCCATCATGGAGTGTTCCCTTGCGGAGCGTCTCGATAGCGGTACCAAAGTGCTGCCTGGTGAAAAGTTAGTTGATCCTGATTATTCGGACTATATGGTCCTGCTTTTTAACGATGTTGAGGTGGCGCAATCAACGCTGAATAACCTCTCTAGAGTAGTGCCATCATTTGGTATGCACTTCGCACCTTCGAAGTGTTGTTACAGGACCACCAGCCACTCCATGTCCTCTTGATGCTTGATGGCATGGAAGTCGAGGCAGTTGGTCTGTTCAGCTATCTTAGCAGCTGCATCAGCAATGATAGGCACATAGCAACTGAAGTCAGTACACGCATTGCAAAATCCAGAACTGCCATCTTGAACCTGCGAACTCTTCGGCATCGGATAAGGGGTTTCCCCGTCTAAAATGCCGTTTATACAAGGTCACAGTGAAGGCCGTTCTACTTTATGGAAGCGAGTCTTGATGCCTCCGATCTGAGGACCTGTGGTGCCTTCATTTCTTTGACCATGGTGGTCTGCGAAGTATTGCTGTGGTCGGATATCACCAGCGTGTTCGCAACGATGATGTGCGTAAGCGAATACTAGGCAATAATAATCAGGCTAGTTCCTTAAAAAAACAAGTAGCACTGAATAGGTTGCGTTGGCTTTACCACGTACTACATATGCGTGGTCACCGCTTACCTAGGAGGGCCTTGATTTTAGTCTGCCAGATATTGGGTGGCACAAGGCTCGAGGTGGGCGAAAGTTGACTTGGCAGCGGGAAATGAACTCATTGACCATCAAACTGGGTGCCGTCCGTGCGTCTCGCCTTCCGGGCTGGAGCCGACGTGACTTGTCTTGTGCGTGGCTTGAGACGTTAGAGGACGACTCGTACTCGACACCAGTGGCGTGTTTGCTTTCGTCTCCTAGTTGGATTGCCTGTTTAAAGTGTGTTGCTTGCTGAGTTATTCGTGGGATAATGGCTGATTATGACGCGAGTCAGTGAAAGCCTCAAGGAAGCTGTCTCGTTGATGCCACCTTATCTTTTTATGATAGCCAGCTGTTTGTAATGGTTGGTTGTTGACAAGGTGTAGGCGCCTTGACCCAGTGTTTTTTAGGACATTAAGGTTTTACCGTGGGTTTCCTTCTTTCCCTCCTATTGTTCTTAGTTCCATAGACCACCGTGGTCGTACGGCAGCGATGCATCAATTCAAGTGGCTAATGTACTGCTGTTGTTGATGATGATGATGATGAACGAGATGCTTGCCATTATAGACTTTAAAAGTTTGTGCATGCCAGCTTACCATCACCTCATTAGATCTTGCTTATCTATCCTGACACCTACTGCAGCGTGGTGGTTTATGTCCCTTTTTGTTTTCCCTTTTTATGACAGCATTTTTGTATGCCCTTATTTTTGTCACTAGGTTGGACAGTGTTGCCGCAATTTAGAAAAACTTATCAAGAAGCAGTCAGATCGCTTGGCGCAGTTGAATGCTGTCAACGAATTGTTAGATGCTGCAGAAATCTTCTATGAGACACAATACAAAGAAGTGCTTTTGGTGGTTAACGTAAGCTCTTTTTTTGGCCTTTTCTGGTCTTTATACAGGCCTCCGTTTTCGTTCATTTGTATGCACTCTCCCTGTCTCATTCTTCGTATGCGCCTTCACTTTTCAGGCCTACAGTATGTATGGTAAGCGGGTATCGAAAACCCTAGAAGAAGCAGAAAATTGTATCGGAATGAGCCCAACTGTTTCACGACCACTAAAACCAGAACTCCCCGTACCAGTATCTATAGCGGTCTCCTGTTCCGAGTCCAGTCCCGACGATGGAGACGTAGAGGATGAGACGAAACCTTTGACTTTTACTGACGATGATAAGGATACTGATGAGAGTGACTTCGAATCATTGCCATTTTCAGCTTATGATTCTGGCTTCAAAAGTGTTGGATACCAGCCATCTGTTCCTTCCTTGAAGGAATCCGATGTGCGAAGTGCAAGCCCTAGATCACCTGCTGCGCAATCTGATACCGTCGCAAAGTTTGACTCAATTTTCGGTGACAGCAATAAGAGTGTGAAATCTCCAGATCAGTCGAAATTTGCCTTGAATTTTAAACTTCATGATATCCCCGTTTTCGAAGATCCTGCGCTGGACGCTATTCGGGATGCTTCTGGCGATGTTGACTATAGATTACTGTTGGATCCTGGTCGTAGACTCGCCTCTGAGTCTTCTTTCATCAGGTATTTTTGCATCTTGGTTTTTTGGTATTCACTTATTCAGTTTTTCTGTGTAGCTGTAAGCCAACTTTGTACACGTTTGTTTATTTTGTATTCCTGCAGTCACCGCGACTGGCTGTCTTGGTCCTCGAGTTGCTTTGAATTTGCAGTTGAAAAGACTAGACATTCGGTATCAGTTTAATAGCTACGTAAGGCGGTGTACACATGACACTGATTTGTATTATTTATAGAGCCACGCTGCATTTATTAAATATTCATTTTACTTCACTCATTAAAACAGTATTAGATCGTGAATCTTCTTTAAATCAGCCAATGAAATTACTTTGTTACTTAGTTTCTGTAAAGATACTAGGTTTTGTTCCGCAAAACACACTCATCGAAGTACTCTCCTAACAGTTCATTGATTCTGCTTGCTAGCTTTTCCGTGCTTCGATGAATCGCGTTTGTTTGACCCACTTGTGCTATTTCTCATTTGCCTAACAACGAACACACGCGTCACTTGTCAGTGTTGCTTCTGCATTTTCTTTCTTTTTCATTTTTATAAATCACTACTGCAAGTGTAGCAGAAATTAATCATGCCAGTTACTTTCATAAATTAACCGTCTATCTTGGCCATGCCTCCATCTTTTACGCCATTTTGTCTACGCATTCTGCGTTATCTCCTCGTGCAGCAATTCGGTAACATTTACAGGCCTAACAATGCTGCTGTTACTTAACGGCACTGCCCCCACTTACTTGCGACTAGTAGATGTTTTGATCACTCCATCACACGATCAACGCCTTCCTGTTCGTTTTGGGAATAATCCCGTTGTACACCAGCTGTTTTTGACCACAACAACTGCCTCTGTATGCACATAGGGTACTTCAGTAGGCTTATTCGTTGTTGTGCATCCCATCATTACCTGATCACACGCAATCCGTTCGCTTAATGCATGTTTTTAGTGCACCTTACGCAGGAGCATACACTAAACATGTTGTTCTTTATGATGCCTTCATACAGAAGTGCTTCATTTGACGGTGCAGCCCGTACAAACGTTTCCCTAGTGATGTTGCCCACTTTATCTCGACTGTCTGCTCCTTGATCTCTTCTTATCGCATTTCTCCGCTGTCTTACTTTCTCACGTGATCATGTATTTCAACTCCACTTTCTGTTTCTTCTACGAGTGGCCCTACTGGTATCCACCTGATTAATTCACTTGTCACTAATTTGATGTCATCACTACGTCAACACTTTGTGCCGATGCTGCGCTACCACACAGCGACGCTCGGCCGTACGCAGGTTTGGATGTTGCTCAAGAGCCTAAATCCACGGCAGAGCTGGGACTGGAATTCGGAGCGCATAGATTCTATGCTAGGCGCCTGCACGGTAATGCTGAGGATCCCTCATTCTCGACCTCCAAGGAGTATACATAGATCGTAAGATTTTTGAGCTCTTCACTTTATTTTCCTGCCGAAGTACCGTGACGCACGGGATGCAATCGCCATGACTCACAGACGACCTGTTTATTTAAAGGGATTGAGTACATAATTCTTCGAAATTTCGGACCACGTCCCACTATTCATTGGTTCTAATCAGGGCTATGCAACTTTACCCTCTGACTGGAAAGTAAACCGGACTATATGGAGGATTTGTAAGCTGTTTGATTATCACGACTGTGAGTGATTGGGAGGCAATACTGATGATGCCGTAGTCCCTGTGCCCTTTACAAGTGAAGATGACAGCTGTTAACAGCCATGTGTTGATCACACTATACGAGCCGATAGTTCCTGAATACTGTATTATGGAGCAACTAGAAATGAATTCTGTACAACTCTTTCGAAATATGGTGAAAAACGTTATAAAAGTTGTCAACCGTGAATATCCTTGTCGTTCTCATGTAACATTTAACATATCCGACTCACGATATTTCAGGACTCATAAATGTGATATGTCATCGTAAGTATGCATTCGTTCTTTGAATCGAATAGTGGTAAAATATAAATCTAACAATGTTTTGAACTGCTACACAGATGTTGCCTCCATCACATGTTTAGGTAAACTGTTCCAAATGTTTACCACTCTCCGTTCGGAGCACAGTGGGTGGGGAACACATTTCACATCCGGCACTACAAGTATGTATCTGTGTCCGCGTGTGCTGCATGGCCCTCGTAAGTGCACCACTGGCCTTAGCATTGGGAAGTTACCGAGATGTAGAATACCGTACGTCATAATGAGGTCGACTCGCACCCGGCGGTAGGACAAGGTGTAGAGTCCTAGTTTCTCGCACTGGTCTCCATACCCCAAGCCACGTAAACTCGGGATCAGCCTGGTAGCAACGTGTTGGACCCGTTCGATCTTTTGTGCCTCGCCTCGGGTAATCGGAAAGTAGGCGGACGAACCGTACTCTAGCATTGGTCTAATGATAGAAGAGAACAGGCGAGTGGCAACCTCTTCAGACCATGTGCCAAAGCTACGTTTGAGCGCCCAAAGCATGCGCAGTCCGTTATGATATAGCCTGTTTGTGTTGTCCACGGACTTCAAATCGTAGCGTGTGAGTACACCTTGGTCTTTCACGGAGGGTGTGGGATATAGCGTTTGGCCGTCAAGGGTGTAGATTCGGCCGCTGACACCCTTCCCCAGGCTCATAACTACAGACTTGGCTGGGTTGACCGGGAGAAGAACTTCTGCAGACTATGTGGATAGGCGGTTGAGGTCTTGCTGAAGTAGGCCACAGTCATCTGGAGCATCAATTTCTCTCAAAATCTTCATGTCGTCCGCAAACAAGGCACATGGCGACTGGAGAAGCTGCGGTAGGTCGTTGATGTGCATCAGGAACAGAGTGGGCCCCATCGCAGTGCCTTGAGGCACGCCACTTGTAGAGGGGTACCAGTCAGTTAGATGGTCGTCGACCTGTACCCTTTACTTTCGTTCAACAAGAAAGTCGCGGATCCACCGGTGCAGTGAGCCACCGACGCCACACATGCTGAGTTTGTGTAGGAGAACCTCATGACTGACCTTGTCAAACGCTTTACTGAAATCGATGAATATCACGTTGACAGACTTCCCCTTGTTTATTGCCTTCAACCACTCATGCCTCGTCACAAGCAGGTTAGTAGTGCATGAGCGGCCTTGCATAAAACCGTGCTGTGCGGGCGTCAGGACCTCGTTTGACTGTAGCAGCTGCACTAATCCCTTTTTCACGATTTTCTCAGCAACCTTAGCCAAAAGTAGGTGTCAGACAAATTGGCCTGTAATTGTCTACTTTGCCAGGGTCGCCGCCTTTCGGAATAGGCTTCACCACCGAACATTTCCAGTCAACCGGCAACGAACCTTCGGAGAGCGACCTGTTGAAAAGGTCAGTCACGACAGGAGAGACGATGGTCGAAAGTGACTTGAGAACCAGGGGGTGAAGCCCATCAGGTCCTGCAGGTTTGGTGCCATCAAGGTTGGCGAGTAGTTGAGCTACCTCTTCAACGCCGCAATCCAGACTATCGAGTTCGGTAAAAACGGTACACCTCGAACTCGGAACCGACACTTGGTTATTCGCAAATACAGAAGCGAAGTGCGCCGCCAATGCGGACGCACGCTCAGTGCTGGAGGTTAGGGGCTGTCCATCCGTGCCATCCAGCACTGACACGTCACCTGCCGGCTTCAGGCGTCGCTTCACATATGCAAAGATTCTCTTTGGGGCGGTCTTCACGGCTACTGCGAGCTGCTCTTCGAAATTTCGGTGTTTATTCTTTTTTGCACTGTTGCAGAGATTACGCTGACATTTATACCCTTCGTAATCATTGGCAGAGCCAGAGAGGAGGAATTTGTCCCACAGTCTGCGCCGCCTCCGAGCCAGGTTTCTATATTCTTTGTCAAACCAATGAGGTTTAATCGGTCCAGCCTTCCGACCTTTCAATGGCACAAATTGGGAACACAATGATGTCAATCTCACTTTTATACTTATCCAACAGTCTTCCACAGATGCAGTTTGTGACAGAGACCAATCCAGTTGGCTCGCGGCTCGAGCTAGTCTATCGAAGTCCGTTTTCCAGTAGTTGGGAGCTGGTTCCAGCAGACGTGAATACGGCTAAGATAATTCCATATCAGCTATGAGCACTGAGTGGTCGCTTGTAGCCATGGGCTCCAGGATCCTAACGTGATGCATTCGTTGTTCGAAGCTCGTTAACGTCAGGTCGAGATAGGATGGGATTGAACGTGTTGATATGCGTGTTGACTGGCATATGTGTCGCGATGCACCAGTTTCAAGTACCAACTCCGCGAACTTCGCTTCAACCTCACTATGTCCAAGCATCAAATGCACATCAGGCCATCGTATTCGAGGACAGTTAAAATCGCCCATAAGTAGAAAGTGTGGACGGCTCATGTGGGTTCGAAGAATGGGCAGCCAATCCAAACAACGACTCAGGGGACTGTGATAAACTGCGCCCACAAGCAGTTCTCCGCGGCTGAGGCGGATGGAGCAACACAGAAGCTCACAAACCTATCCAACTAATGCTTCCCCATTTGTGATTAGGAGTTTTCCTTATGACTGGTTGCGTTTTGAACAACCCAAGCCCTCAATCTCTCTCTCTCTCTCACTAATCAGGAACTTTTTCCAGTTGTGTTCCAAGTCATTTCAGTGTAAACTGTATGTACCCCAATGGGTGTATTTTCAGCATTTTACATTATCAAGTGTAGATGGACTAAATTAGCATCATCGAAAAAGCAAAATTTTACAATCGAGTAGACAAAAATTACAAAGGTACACTATCATAACTTCTTGAAACCGTCTGGCTTTCCAGAGCAACGGGTGTACAGTGTTGAATGGAATCCTCAAGATTCGCAAAACAATTTTTATTAACATTTTTCTTAACTGGCTTCTGTTAACCTAAAGCTTCATGTCCAAAAGCAATAAACCAGTAATAGCACACAGTGTCTCAGCATTTGTATTCAATCAGTGAATAGAATAGGACCATCTCAGAGACTTTAGAAATAAAACAAACAATTTGTCATACTGTTCTTGCAAAATGGATATATCTACAGTAGATAAAGTAAAAAGGATGTTCGATGAAAAAGGCAACGGCCTGATTCAAAGACCATGTGGGACGTGCCACCAAGTCTCAGTGATTCGTACACTAATGACCCTACCACATTGTGGTGCAGTCTCGTCGTGACTAGATTGCTTTATTGACACACGGTCGACGAGTCACTTTATTAGTGATAACTTTTAAAAATGTATGATACCAGACAACTGGGGTGCGTTTTCAGCATAAGCAACGATCAACTGTACATGTCGGCAGTAGTGCGATTATTACATCCTCTGCTACATCACAGGCTGGATTGTGATGACAGTTGAGTTTCACTACGAGTTCACGTGAATTTGTGTTCCGCTGAGTCTGCCTCACACCATTTTTTTCTGATTACAGCTTAATAAGTATGCAAGTTTCGTAGTAGCATATTCTTCTGATTTCCTTCAATTTAGCTCTCACCGTTCTCACACCTTATCGAAATCCTTTATTCGGTTTACAAATTCGACACGGTTCAGTGTGATCGTCGGATCACTTCCGCGATACAACACGCTGTGCTCTTTTTACCTCGAGAATGCAACGATGCTTTCATTTTTCTTCTGCCTTGAGCACTGTAACCTATTCACCCATCTGCGAATTATTTCTCATTGAAAACATCTGGTATCTGATGCCTAACTTCTCACGAGACTGAACTACTGCCACTGCTTGGTTAAGCATTGCACATGTCCGCTGCTTACACTGTTGGCTCACTGACACGCTTCTTGTATTTTAGTCCCCTTCAAAAAATCTCGCGTTCACCAGACCAGTTGGAGAGATTCGTTGATCTCAACAACAAATGCTCCGTGGATGCCACTTCATCTGCTGCTACTGCTGCAACAGTCTATTCTGCGGACTTTTCAAGTCATAAATCCAGTCCCACTCCTCCTCCAAATCCTACAATTGATAATGCAGATGGGGATAGCATGGAAATGTCCGATGGAGACGCACCTGAAGATGAGCCTGTTATCGATGCTCGGCTGGACATCGGACCCTTGGATCCCTCTGCTGTTGAGACTGGGGACCATGACTATCGCTTACTCCATAAAGTGACCCTCACTGGCTCCGAAGTATGTACTCTATTTATTGGTCGTTATCCTCCCTATGTGTCATAGCGCCGTACTCTTTTGCGCTGTTAATCAACATAAGCGCCTTATGCATCCGAACAGCAGATGCACTAAATTGAGGTCATCAAAAATGCAACATTTTTTCTAACGTTTAAGCAATAATGAAAACAGTGCACTTTCACTCGAGTAAACACTCGCGCAATGATAAACAGAATCTTCGGGATTTGCATGGAATAGACAGAGCAGTTTTGTTAAAAATTATCTCCATTACTACACCATTTCCCGGCCAAGTTATCCTCTTGGGTAGCAGAAATAATCTGAGGGGGCATTCAATATGAGTCTACTCAATTAATTTTTTCCGTGCGTAGGAGCTGAAGCGTCCCATCTGCACCTCTGTGACTTAGTGCATCTGAGGTCCAATTGGCTGAAAGCGACGGGCTATACACGCACACCTGCACAAGTGACTGGCGTACGCACGGAACAAATTAATTGAGTAGACTCATGTTGAATGCCCCTCAGATTATTTCTGTTGCCCAAGAGGACAACTTGGCCGGGAAATGGTATAGTTTCAGTAGATGTAAAATTTCGATCAGAGTATCTCAGCTTTTATATGCAAGATATAGCCAGAGTGGGACGGTCTCAGTGATCTCAGAAATGGCTTGAATAACGATGCTGTCAGAATATTGTTGCAATACTGCTATATCTGCAGTGGATAAGGTGAAAATGATGTTCGGCGAAAAATGGAGCGATCGATTTAAAGGCTACACCACGGGTGGACATACTGAAAAGCACCGACAGTTTGCTCGAGAAATTTCTTGGCCACACTTTTCCTTATAACGGTAATAATAATAATAATAATGATAATAATAATACGGGCATTTCTCATGATCTGAGAGGCTGTGGCGGCACATATTGATATGTGCAAAGGTAACCATGCCCTTGCATCGACGATACGTATATGTGGCATATTGAGTCATGCGATTCATATAACAGTGATTTAGTATCTGGTTGAGGTGAAAGCTAAGGTTTGAAAACGTGCGTGTTTAGACATTTTCCGACCTCTTTTGGAATATTTCCTCGAATAATTTTTCCCAAGTCAATATAGTCATTCAAAAGGCACATCGATTCACGGAATCTAAGTTATCTTCGATATCGAAGAATACGACTAGGGTAGATTACCCATAAACCTGTCGTTCTCAAGTAGCTCACCTAAGCTGTAGATGTGCCCAATGCAGCTCCAGTTTCGACGAAACCTGGTGTCGTCTTCGCGGACGCCAGCCATTTTATCCATAAGGAGAGGAGCAACCAGCTTATAGGCTATGGTGACCAGACCCGTACATCTACGACTGCCGCACTCCGAACGTGACTCTCCCTGAAACTTGGACTATAACAGTACAGCTCCAGTCGGTTACGAAACAGTTCATTGCTCCCACTGTTTTCTTACTAAGTTGTGCAACTCTTCTACAAAGCACGTCCTCCTAATTTGTAGGTGCCTAGAGGAATTACACTCGGTTCTGCGGATTTGTTCAATTTCATCTGCCTGATCTCTCGCACGGCCTCAGCGCTAGATGGCTTATCTAAAGAGACGGTACAGGGAGGTGAATGATTGCTGATCTGCAGAGGTGATAATTCTGGTCTATCGAATTAACGGTTGCTCGACCTGTCCGTCGCATGTCTCATTTCGAACTTCGGTTTTCGACTCACAGTCAATCTTTCTTTCTCAGTTGTTGGTACATGCGGTCAATGCCAGTGCGCATGTTTATCGAATTATTGGAAGAGAACCTTGCTTCTAGGAATTTCCTCCCAGTTTGTAATTCTTCTTTATCCATAATCTCTGTTTTGTTCTAGTTGAAGTTATGTCGCTCCACATCAACTTGAACTGAGAATAGTTAAGGTGCATAATGTCTTTTACAGGCCCTTTGATATTCTTGTATCCTACTCGATAATCTCTTTTCTGTCTGTCCCACATAGTTCTCACTACTACTGCAATTTATTGTATATGCTTCGTTTGTTTGTTCCTGTGCTTCGCAGTTGTCTTTTGGGTTTGGCAGTGTCCTTTTCAAGGTAACAGTTGGCTTTGGATAACCATGTTATGTTTTTATTTAAACAATTTAGCCATCATTTTAGATATGTTCTTTATCTACGGCAAAACGATCCGCTTGCTTGCTTTTGTCAGTGGCTCGGTCTTCAGGGGTTGGTGTCTTGAACATCTGCGGATGAAGTCGTGTGAGTACCCATTGCGTTAAAATGCACAAAACAGTCGATTCTCTTCTCTCTGTTTTGCTTCCGCAGTACTGCATTGTGTTTTAATTATGCGAAACAGCATCAGTACGCAACTTATCTTTTGACCCTTTGGATGGTTACTGTTAAAGTTCAAAATTTGGTCCCTATGTGTGCCTTTTCGGTAAACGGATCTTCGAAGTCCACCGTCCATTGTTCTGGTCTCCAGTACATCCAAGAATGGGAGCATATTTTCCGTCCGCGATTCCATTGTAAACAGATTATCGACTGGGACACAAGAACATCAAAAGGTATGCACCTTCACTGTTTTCAGCGCATGTTGATGAGTAGAGACGTAGCTTTGACTGGAACAAAACAGAGATTATGGATAAAGAAGAATTACAAACTGGGAGGAAATTCCTAGAAGCAAGGTTCTCTTCCAATAATTCGATAAACATGCGCATTGGCATTGACCGCATGTACCAACAACTGAGAAAGAAAGATCGACTGTGAGTCGAAAACCGAAGTTCAAAATGGGACATGCGACGGACAGGTCGAGCAACCGTTTTAGTCGCCGGAGAAAATGAGCAAAGGTTACGGGACGCAAGTCGAAGGTGTCACTTTCAAAAATCACCTGCCCGCCGATCACCGAAGGACGATTCAATAGACAAGATTGCCCAACGTATATAACTGCACGGACTATGCCACCCCGTGTGGTGGCGAAATATATGTTACTGTTTAATCAGGCTTGGCGACCCAGTCAGCAAATGAACAACCAACACGGGACGCCAGTGTCTTAAATCACATCCAAAAAGCAACATTCTGCGCTGCTTGGTCCCACAAAAGGCAGCAATACGCGCCACAACAAATGCAACCGTTGAAAAGCGAGCCGCGTTGCTTTACATAAACGGAATCTCCGATTTAGCAGCAAGACTTTTTTTGCTTTTTGGAGTCGATTGCCCACCACCGAACATCGATAGTTCGTAGTAAGCTCTTTAATGTTAGAGGTACACTTAGCAAATGAAAACATCGGGTATAGTCTACAAGACCTGTTACCGAAATTTTGGCAAAGTCTACCTAGGACAAATAGGAACATTGTGTAGCCATTCGCCGTCATGATCAGAACTCTTTGCTGTTTGTGCATATGGATGCCGAAAACCACCACTTCGTTCTCAGAAGAGCTGTAAGCTGGAAAACACATGTGTTTATTGAAGTCTAGTATTAGCGCAGAACTCCATTAGGCACTTAGATCTCGAATTCACTTACGAGGCTCTGCGCAACCGGCCCTCGGAGCTTCACTGACGATGTTGCTTAGTCTGGCAACAAATGTCTACAAACTAATCATTCAACTCGGAGGGCAGTGCAAACCCACTTCCTCCACCTTGGCTGTAAGATAGACGTGACTTTTTTTACACTGGGTTTGCCTCTCTATTCAACACTACATGGGACACTGAAGAGGTGTGTTCAGGCTGGCAGCTATCAACTTGTTCCCATCTTCGATAAGAGTCAATAGACTGCAAAAATCATGGGGGCTTTCGCCTCCAAACTTCCCAAGGGTGTCATTCTTCGACTTGTCCTCGTTAGAGTGGAATGATCGAAATCCAGGCTGGCTCCTGCCCTTGTCGTGGCTGCATCGATCACATGAAGATGACCGACTATGCTGTTTTCATTGATTTGAATACCTTCTTCGGCTCTGTTGGTCGGGATAGCTTGTGGCATTACTTATCCGTGAACTACATGTATTCACTCAACTGTGACCCTTGGGTCTACGAAAACTGTCTCCTGAGTTCCCACGGGTTATCTTATATCCCCTCCTCTTCAACTTTGTGATAGAAAAGAGCATGAATGTCTTTGTTCTGTGGACTCTTCCGGACTGGAAGTTCTGCTGTGTGGTCGACTGACAACCTTGGAGTATGGGGATGATATAGCTCTCCTTGGATTTTACGCAGGGGCTATGCAAACCCTGCTGGACAGGCTGTTGCGTAGCGCCACATCTTTCGGCATGCACTTTGCACTTTCAAAGTGCAAAGTACTGTGGCAGGACTGGACTGATGCGCCATCGGTTCTAGCTATCCGCCAAGGGCCAATGACAGTGTCGGATCGATTCTCGTGCTTTGGTTGCTGTGTCACCTCTGGTGGTCACATCACCGAGGAACTTATCATTCGTATCATCAAGACCCGTGTGGCATTTCATATGGTCAACCATCTATGGACACAATGGGATCTCTACTTGTCACTGATAGCTAAGGTGTATAGCACTTCGATAAGCCTGTGCGGATCAGAGACCTGGCCAGTTTGCAGTAAAGACATTAAACGCCGGTAGTTGGGGAGTATTGCTCACGTATGTTGGGAACACCGGTCCTCGGTCCCTTGTCGGAGTTTGGCAAGAAACTTTCTGGTGCATCACTCGAGTATTTGTTAGTTTAACTATTTACGCATGCAAGATCATGTCCCGTATGCCCGTTGGCCACGTTCCTTGGCTTGAATTATACGCTGTGTCTGCACCAAATTGGGCGAAATTGCCATGTGACCGCGTGGCACTAGTGCACGTAGAAATTGACTGAGATGTTTGATCAGTCTGGCACGTACTGTATTCGCGAATGCGTGCTCCGGAATGGTCCACACCGGTGGTTGAAAACCATGTGACATAAGACAATCACATACTCGTTCGCTACTCGGTTTCCTGAACCTGGCTTTTAATTTTTGTTCCATCCCGATTACTTTAACGCGCTTCCTTGTTCATTTGTTTTTCTACACGTTCTATTTGCATTCAACCTCATTTT